CTATCCATTTTGATACAAAATTGGACTGCCAAGCTGCTGATTAAACCAAGTAAAAATTTGACTAAAGGAGGCCAAATTGCTCAAACAAGCTTGAAAAATAAATTGTTAAAGACCACAGCTTACTAACAGGAGTAGCCATGCCCCCCATATTTCTCATTAGGGGCCTTGTACCAATTGAAATCGGCTAAAATGGCCCAAGGGAAAGAAATGCCATCGCATAGGTTGGAAAGCTACTACCATAGAATTTCACTATCATATGGTGAATTAGCAACATATACTACATATAAAATAAAGGAAGTTGAGCGTCCAACCAAAAGATCCCCATGAATAAGTTGATTGGAGATAATGATTGGCTTAATGATAATACAGGAAAGGTTTTACTTAACCTAGATGCGATCCAAAGAGGCACAACAAAAATTATTATAATAACCGTCATTTGTAAAAATGTCATGGGAGACAAATAACCAGGTGTCATTTAAGTCCTAAGATTGATTTTTTGCTTCCAATATGCAAAAGAAGTCCAGATTGTGAAGACGAGAATTTTTTTACATAATAACACTTTTTCAAGGTTATTGAAACCACATACATTCAAAGCTACAAGGGCTGTAAGGATTATTAGGGACTTGTTTTGGTTTTTGGGGCCTTTGTTACCGCCTTCAGATCTGGTGTAATGGTGGTTTTGGTTGGTAGTTTGGAGGAGAGTTCAAAACCAACATCAACCTGATTAAGTACTCCACTTATTTGACATTTGCAGTTAAGTGCCACTTTCCTATGGAGCAACATCGGCTTGAGAGGTTTCCTTAGAGGGAGAGTTTAGATTTGGAAAGGAGGAGTTATCCAGTGATGTGGAGTCATAGGTGGAGGAATTGGTAGATAAGAATGGCTCGCAATTCCAGCTTCTTAGGTAGAGAAGATGTAGATGGAACAAGTGTGTCGGTAGCCACATTGCTTGAAATTTTCTTTGGAAGGTTATTTATTTGCCATGAGTTTATCAGCCATAATAGGACAACCAATGAAAGTTGAAATCTTAGAGATGCAATATAGATTCTAGCAGGAGAGGGGGAGTTCATGGATTTTAATCCAAAGGGGAAGAGAAGTGAATTCTCCCTCTAAAGAGAATTAGGGAGACCACTTATATAGGAAAAAAGGCTTAGTAAGAAGGAACCAAGGCCCTCCGGACGATACCATTTGAAAGTCCTCAAGGGAGGAAAATTGCATCAAGAAAAAACTACCAGAGATGGATATAAGAGATATGCTTTTAATGGTAAAGAGAATGGACTCGTAGTATGGTCTTCTGCTGAGAGAGTAATCGACCATGGAGGGACCCCACTCTTTATCCCCTAGGGAATTTCTTCTCATGAAAAAAGCACAGACTCATCTTATGGGGGAATATAGTTAAGGGGGAAGTCAATAGTAGAGGGGTTTCAGGCTGAGAGGATACTTTTCTAGTTAAGAGAAGATGGGTGTTAAGTATAAATTTTTTAATGTTTTGTTGTCTTAAATATTTGTTTTAGTTGTTTTTGTACAAAATATCTTAAGCAGAAATTTTACAAGTGTTGAGCCAGTGCTGTAGTGCTTCAAACTTAAGTGCCTCAACATTATCATTCACAAATCTCTGATGACATGATCCAACATTACAGTGCTGGCGCATCTAAATTTTTTATGGAAGTTAACTCCCTAGTAGAATTGAGGTCAGTGCCATAGCAGCAAATAACAATATTGTAGTATTGTTCACTCTATCATTCAAGCACCAGAGGGCTGAACTAAATCACATCGCAGTGCTGGGGAGCACATTCAAGCGAAGCAACACTTACCTTTTTCAGCTCCATGGTGGAGCATTTTCCAAAATGAGAAGCTTCACTGACTCAGCCAAAAGCCGTACCTATTCAGCTAATAGATACGCCCACTCAATCCAGCACTACAGCGAAGCAAGCCAAATAGTGACGAGGCACTAGTTCATTCTATAATGTCACAGTGCTAACTTGTTGAGTGCTTTGGGGCTAAGTCCATTTATGTACTCAATATAAATAGTTTTTCAGTCTATTTGTGGGGGATTTTAATATTTCAAGAGGGTTCTATTCTAATTTTGTCAGTCTTGTGTTCTTAAGTGTAGTACCTCCTTAAAGTTAAGTCTAAGGGAGACAATTGGGGAGAGAAAGATACTATATTTGGATATTATTAGTATATCTTATTGTAAGATATCATAGATTTGGTGGAGAAAGGAGTATGCAAAGTGTATTTGCATTATCCCGGTGACATCTAATTACACTTTACTATTGTGCTTTCTCTTATATAAAAACAATGAATTCTGGATTGTTCTCTTTTATTTTCATGGCTGACTAATTTTTTAGTTTTGGGTTAATGATGTGAAACCTATGCGAGTACTAATGTAGACTCTTATTCTTTGAACAAGTAAATAAATGTCTCATTCTTAATTTAATGCATATAATGATCATGTGTGTAGTTAAATTTTTATGTGATATATCACATCGACAGAGGAATATTGGAACAATTATGAGAATTAAAATATAACTCTTATATGCCTGGACATAAGATGTTTATTGTTCTAGTTTCTATGGAGATATAATAATTATAGGAATGCCATAAACCTCCCTTCACATCCCTACAAGCTCAATAGAGATTTAGGGATACATATGCTCTAATCCACTCCAAACATATAAGAGTCTACTTAGGAAAAATTAGGTAATTTATAGTCATTAGTCCAAAATATTTGTTCATTTGATATTTTTCTTTTTTGCTACTTATCTAACTTGGGACTGAATCTCAATCCTGATTTTCATTTGGTAGGAACATTATAGCTATAACAAATAGTATTAGTTCATTTGCATATTAGCAGAACAATTGTGGGATCGATACTCTCTTATATCACTTTATTACTTGATAGATGCATGAACTTATGCATTTAGTGGGTAATTCACATCAAGGAAAGTCTAAGCATATTTCAATCCAATACATATCATCACGCATCCAAGCTTACCCCCATGCCCATCAATGGGCTAGACACCAACCTAGGGGGAGAGGTCATGGAAGAGTTAACAGATTTAATAAAATGGTGGGAAACCAAGGAGTGATGGAACCCCAGATTATTCCATCACGGGGGAAGAAGGGGGAAAATAAGGAAAAGAAAAAAGAGGAGGGCTAGTAGCACCAGAGGGGTGAGAGCAAATGAGGCGGCTAAGGTTACTAAGAAAACCCTAGTAGAGCAAGAGCAAATGAGGCACAATGGGATCACCTTATGCAACCACCATGCAGAATGAAAAAGATGGAAATCTCCCATTAATACTTACAGCTTAGGGATGACCTTTTTTTGGCCATTAGGATCATTTCATGTGGTGTATCTGATAATTCCCTTTTTACGGTCATCTTGGCAATCAAGAATGCATAGTGCTACTCTTATTACAATTTCTATTCATGTTGGATAACTTTTTTATCACGATATGAGACTAGATTATTTTATTTCTAATTTTTTATTTTATTTTTATCGTATGAGCTTTAAGAGCATTTTTTGTGCAGCTCATGTTTTTTCAAGTCATAAGCTTCTCAGTTGTATTTTTGTTTTTGTTGTAATTATCTTTATAGTAATAGATGGGCTTTGACCTTAATAGGTTGTTGGGTATCGAATTTGGCATCATTTTTAAGTAGGATTTAACATAAATCCAACCAAACACATTTCCGCACAACTGTAAATTCCGCGAATCCATAAATATGAGATTTACAGATTTACGGCATAAATCCTGGTAAATCTTAATCCCATGTTTCGACAGATTTAATGCGATTTACGATTGCTCGAAGTTCCTTCCAGCGGCGTCCGTGTCGTGAAGCTCGCGCGACCTTTTGATCCACAATTGCTTTCAATGGATTTATGGGATTTGGCAGAAGAAGCGTGCGAAAGGGAGAAAGTTACCTTCATAGCCAGCGAGCTTCCGTTGTTGCTTCCGATCAAAATATCGTAACTTCTGATCCGACAGGAAGGGAAAGTTATCCAAGGAACAAAGTCGAACAGCCAAGAAGGAGCCGAAGAAGCAAAACTTGCAATCTCTGCACCTCCTACGAAGAAACGAAGCCGAAAGCAACAACAAAAGGAACCCTAGAAGCCTCTAAGTTATTATTAATTAACCTAATTAATATAATCTAAAACATTAATAATTAAGTAATTTAATTAAATAACTAATAGTATAATTAGTGCATAACACAACTCACTGACGGTTCTCCCCGTCCGCACTCCAAACCTAATAATCTTTCAACATGGAACTTTTATTTGGTCTGGTGACCTGACGTAGCTTTACGTTCAGACACCAGTAAATTAGTGCCACGTGTTTTTACTTTTTACTGCGCGGCCCATCAACCCGACCCGGAATAGCCTGGGGATTGCTATGTTCACATATTGCTAGGTATTGCTAGGTATTAGTCAATTTTGCTCTGCAATAACGAGAAATACCATTATGTGAAGACCAATACCGAGCAATACCGAGTTTTTATTGAGCAATACCGAGTTTTGCTAAAAACTCGGTATTGCTAGATATTGGTCGATTTTTCTTGGCAATAACAAGAAATACCATTATGTGAAAACCAATACCGAGCAATACTGAGTTTTGCTAGAAACTCGGTATTGGTCTTCACAGAGCGGTATTTCTAGTTATTGCCAAGCAATACCTAGCAATACAGAGAAATACGGGAACATAGCAATCCTGGGTTCCGGTTCGAGTAGGATCATCGGGCTGCGGTAAAGAATGAGAACACGTTGCGACATATTATTGACGTCCGAATATAGAACTACGTCAGATCACCTGACCTAATAATTATTCTTCACTCAATTGGGGGTTTTTATTTTTAATTTATAATTATATTTTTTAACCTTTAAATATCTAATTATCATAAATCCTGAAATACTCCCACCCCACTGCCTAATTATGTTCGGCTAGCAACTAAAACAACAAAAACAGAAAAATGGCGATCTACTCCCCGTCCTGCGGCGGCTAGCAACTAAAACAACAAAAAACAGAAAAATGGCGATCTACTCCGCCTCCTGCGGCTCCCGCAGCCCTCCCGTAATCCGCCTTCTCGTTCTCCGCCTCTCGACCGCCGTTTCTATTCCTTCCTCCGCCTCCTCTTCTCCTCCTCCTCCCTCCTCCTCTCCTTCCAACTCCCATTGCCTCAACGACCACGATCCCATCAAAACCCTACCCCTCCCCAAACTCTCTTCCACCTCCACCTCCGGCCGCTTCGCTGTCGAGCTAGCCGCCCGCCGACTCTCCCGCATCAAATTCCGCGAATCCAACCCCACCGTCTCCCATGAATCCTTTCTCTCTACCGTCATCCTCTCTTACGGATCCGCCCACAAACTCGACCGCGCCATCGCCATCTTCGAAGAAATCCCCCGCCTCTGTTCTGCCCCTCCCACGACCCTCTCCTTCAACGCCCTCCTATCCTCCGCCATCCGAGCCAGGCAGCACACCCAGGTACCGCATCTCTTCTCGCTTCTATCCCAAAAGCACAAAATTTCCCCCGACCGGTTCTCTTACGGCGTTCTCATCAAATCTCTCTGCCTCTCCGGTAATGTTGAGAACGCCTTGGATATCATAAAGGAGATGGAGGAGAAGTGTGTGGAGGTCACAACTGTGATCTACACCACTCTTATCAGCGCTTTCTACAAAGATGGGAAGCGGGAGAGGGCTGAGGAACTCTGGAATGAGATGGTAGAGAAGGGCAAAGATCCAGATTTGACCTCTTATAATGTGAAGATCATGCACCAAGCGCTCGATGGCAAGGTCGAGCAAGTTCTTGAGAGCATATCGGAGTTGAAGGCCGCTGGATTGAAGCCCGATAGGATCACGTATAACTATCTCATGACTTGCTATTCTAAGAATGGGCGGTATGAGGATGTGAAGCAGGTCTATGAAGAACTGAAGAGCAGTGGCTATGCTCCGAATTCTACAACGTTTAAGGTTATGATGAATCTCTTGTGTGAAAGTGGAGATTTTGAAGCTGGATTTGATGTTTTTATGGAGAGCATGAAGCATGAGAAGATCCCTGATTCCGTGACAGTGAGGGCTTTGGTGGTGGGATTGGCGAAGAAGGCCAAGTTGGAGGAAGCGAAGATGGTGATAAGGGCGATGAGGGAGAGGTTTCCGGTGGATATGGTGGGTGAGTGGAAGATTGTTGGGAAAGAGCTTGGTTTGGATATATAGATGAGAAAGGGCTTCTGAAACTTGAGAGGCAATTTCTAGTTAAATTGTTTTGTAGAGCTGATGTTTATTGAAAATAATGCCTCTTTTTAGAACATTTTTTTCTTCAAATCTTTGAATCATCTTGTCGAGTGGTATTTCAATCTGATATTCTATCACCTTATATAACTTATAAGTCAAATATATTTATTAGTACATATAAATGTAAAATTTTAGTTTTATTGGACTATAACATATCTATAATTTTAAATATGTATCTGAAAATATCATAAATAAAGTCATGGTGAAAAAAATAGAATTATAATTTCAATATCTACCTATTAAACTGATTGAAAAAACATTATTTATTCTCATTATTCTATGATGCTATCTTAAATGTTTATTCTCTTTTACGATGAAAAATATCTTATCCAATATTTTTAAAATTTGAAATTTTTAAAAAGATCTCTCTCTCTCTAAGTCTAGAAAGAGTAATACTACATGCTCTATCTTATAAAAGTCTAATCTTTTAGAGTTAGTTGGATCTTTTTCTTGCTTTTTAGCTACTTTGGTGTTAACTCACCAAGTTTTTTATTTTTTCTTAAAGTTATGAGTAGAGCATCATTTTATTTTTTTATTATTAAATCACAAAAATTGAAAAAGAGTTTTGGAGGAAAATTTCTCTCTTTTCTGAACTTGTGGATTTTAATAATTGCATTTTTAATGCAGGTTTACTAGAGCTACTTCACTATGGCCTCTCTTATAGTTGATATACTTAGCAATTGCAGAATCCTATTAGCTTTCTGCTTGGTCGAGCTCTTTGTAATGCACTTTGGTTACACTCTAAGCTTTTTTCTCATTACAAAATCCTCATTCCTCAGTCATCTAATCACTTTCTTATCCTCTTTTATGTTGATGCCCTATCTTACTCTAGAAGATGATGTATATACCAAAAAGAATTTATTTCATTGTCCTAACTTTTTGGAGGTTATGCATAATGTTGGAACAATTCATGTTAAGAGAGACCCCTCAATTTGCTTTCTATAATATGCTCAATGATGCTAAACTTGTTTGAAAGCTGGCAACTAGAATTATTCATCTTACATATCTAACAACTTTAATATGCTTAAAGCCACACATAGTTCCATCTTTGTTAACTTGGAATCTCACCCTCTTTACAATACCCTCCTCGGTTGTGTTCATCAAAATCAACATGAGTTAATGGAAGCTATCAAATATTAGAATAGTTGGATCAAACAAAGAGCTAAGTGCTCTTAGCTCATAGAGGTGAAGATGACTTTAAATTTCTATTCCATAAAATCAAAAGAAAAGATAAGTATAACCAGATCTGAGAAATCTATAAGCTTACTGCCCCTATTTATTCTACTCAATGAATTTCTCAAGAAGCTATCCAATAATTTTATGCCCTTTTTAATGGAGAAGATCTACCAAATAATCAAAATCATGTATCCCCCTCCCCATTGGGCCTTCTTTTTCTATGGATGAGCAATATAATATTGTGATTGATTTTTTCAATGATGATAATAAGAAGACAAACTTTGATATTGGGAATTATAATGCTCTAGGTCCTGGTGATTTTACCTCTTAATTCTTCAGAGATACTTGGCCTCTTAGTGGTAGCAATTTTATTAACGCTATTAGATACTTTTTTGCCAATGCAAACATGTTAGATTTTGTGAATCATTCTACCATCATTATGATTACCAAGACTCTAGGCTCTTAGAGTCATACTAAATATAAATCTATTTTCTTATTAAACATTACTTATAAGATAATTGCTAAGTTGCGAGCAACTAGAATCAAGACATTACTCCCTAAACTCATATATTGGTCTCAATATGCTTTCATTTCTAAGAGAGACATTGCAAACAACATCATCTTGGCTAATAAAATTCAAAGAGGGTTAAATTATGTTACTTCAACTAAATTCTTTTGTGCTAAAATTTACCCTAAAAAAGTTTTTGATAACATCAATAAACCTTTCCTCTGCAACAAACTCATTGATCTTTACTTCCCATCCACCTTTGTGAATTGGATCAAATCTTGTAGGTATTTGGTCCACTTATATGTCATTATAAATGGGAAACTCAATGGTTTCTTTTAGTTCTAAAAATGGGCTATGTCAAGGATGTCCATTATACTCCTTTCTATCCATCTTCATCATTAATGCTTTCTCTATATTTATTTAGGCCTCCTATATAAAATCCTCCTTTTCTTGCGTCTAGATGAAGAATTTTATCGTGTCACATCTTATATATGCTAATAACATCTTGATCTTTTGGATAGCTGATCGTTTTCAACTTTGAATAACCTGTGTAGTATTATGAACTGTTGCTAGAGTGCCACTGATTTGACTGCCAACAAAACTATGTCAGCTATATATTTCACAAAATATGTTAGCTATTATTTACAGGAATATTATTGTACCATTCTTGGCTTTAGCCTCACTTTCTCCATACTCAAATTGTGCAATTATTCTAAAATCTTAGAAAAATTACATGGGTGTCTTTGTGGTTGGAAATAACACGTTCTTTGTTATGTTGGCTAACTTCAATTGATCATATCTCCTCTTTGGAACTACTAATGCTGCTAGTTGTGTTCTCTCTCTCTCTCACCCAAAAGGTTAAGATGAAAATCTCTAACCTTATTAACCAATTTCCTTCATGGCAATTTTAGAACAATAATGCCTCTTTTTAGAACAATTTTTTTTTTTTTTTTTTTTTTGTAAAATCTTTGCAATCATCTTGTGGAGTGGTATTTAATCTGATATTCGATCACCTTATACCTTATAAGTCAAATATATTTATTAATTCATATAATTTAAAAATTTAAACATCAAATAATTTTATTGGAATATCACAAATCTTTAATTTTAAATATGTACTTGCAAAATATCATAAATAAAGTGATGGTGAAAAATATAGAAAGATAATTTCAATATCTACCTATTAAAAAGATAAAAAAAATATTTATTGTTATTATTCTTTGATGCTATCTTAAAAGTTTATTCTCTATTACTATGAAAAATGTCTCATCCAATATTTTTAAAATTGGAAAATTTTGAATAAAATCTCTCTCTCTCAAAGTCTAGAAAGAGTAATATAACAAGCTTTATCTTAAAAAATTCTTATCTTTTAGAGTTAGCATAAAAAAGATTGGATCTTTTTCTTGCTTTTTAGCTACTTTGGTGTTAACTTACCAAGGTTTTTTTTATTTTTTTGAAGTTATGAGTGGAGCATCATTTTATTTTTTTATTATTAAATCACAAAAATTGAAGAGAGTACTGGAGGAAAATTATTCTCTCTTTTTCTGAACTTGTGGATTTTAATAATTGCATTTTTAATGCAGGCTTATTAGAGCTACTTCACTATGGCCTCTCTTATAGTTGGTATAATTAGCAATTGCAAAATCCTATTAGCTTTCTGCTTGGTCGAGCTCTTTGTAACGCACTTTGGTTGAACTTTTGCCCTTTTTTCTCATTACAAAATCCTCATTCCTCAGTCATCTAATCACTCTCTTATGCTCCTTTATGTTGATGCCCTATCTTACTATAGAAGATGATGTATATACAAAAAAATTTTATTCCATTTTCCTAACTTTTTGGAGGTTGTGCATAATGTTTGGACTATTCATGTTAAGAGAGACCCTCAATTTGCTTTCTATAATAAGCTCAATGATGTTAAACTTGTTTGAAAGCTGGCAGCTAGAATTCTTCGTCGTATATATCTAACAACTTTAATATGCTTAAAGCCACACATAGTTCCATCTTTGCTAACTTGGAATCTCACCCTCTTTACAATACCCTCCTCGGGTGTGTTCATCAAAATCAACATGAGTTAATGGAAGCAATCAAATATTAGAATAGTTGGATCAAACAAAGAGCTAAGCGCTCCTAGCTCATAGAGGTGAAGATGACTTGAAATTTCTATATCATAAAATCAAAAGAAAAGAGAATTATAACCATATTAGAGTGATCTTTAAGCTTACTGCCCTCATTTATTCAACTCAAGAAATTTCTCATGAAGCTATCCAATACGTTTATGCCATTTTTAATGGAGAAGATCCTCCAAATAATCAAAATCATGTATCCCCCTCTCCATTGGGCCTTCTCCTTCTATGGATGGGCAATATGATATTGTGATTGATTTTTTCATTGATGATAATAAGAAGACAAACTTTGATATTGAGAATTATAATGTTTTGCATCTTGATGATTTTACCTCCCAATTCTTCAAAGATACTTGGCTTCTTAGTGGTAGCAATTTTATTAAAGCTAATAGATACTTCTTTGCCAATGCAAACATGTTAGATTTTGTGAAGCATTCTACCATCATTATGATTCTGAAGACTCTAGGTTCTTAGAGTCTTACTAACTATAGATCTATTTTCTTATGTAGCATTACTTATAAGATAATTGCTAAGTTGCAAGCCATTATAATCAAGACATTACTCCCTAAACTCATATAATAGTCTCAATCTGCTTTCATTTCTAAGAGAGACATTACAAACAACATCATCTTGGCCAATGAAATTCTAAGAGGGTTAAATTATGTTACTTCAACTAAATCCTTTTGTGTTAAAATTTACCTTAAAAAAGTCTTTGACAACATCAATAAGCCTTTCCTCTGCAACAAACTCATTGGTCTTTACTTCCCATCTATCTTTGTGAATTGGATCAAGCTTGTGGGCATTAGGTCCACTTATCTGTCATTATAAATGGGAAACTCAATGGTTTCTTTTAGTGCTAAAAATGGGCTAAGGCAAGGATGTGCATTATACTCATTTCTATTTGTCTTCATCATTAATGTTTTGAGGCCTCTTATATAAACTCTTCCTTTACTTGCCTCTCGATGAAGAACTTTATGGTGTCACATCTTATATATGCTAATAACATCTTGATCTTTTGGATAGTTGGTCATTCAACTTTGAATAACCTGGGGAGTATTATGAACTCTTACAAGAGTGTCATTAGTTTGACTACCATCATAACTAACTTAGTTATATGTTTTACAAATTATGTTAGCTCTTATTTAAATGAATATTATTGTACTATTCTCAGCTAAACACTTTCTCCATACTTAAATTGTCCAATTAT